AATTTGCTCGAACAAACAACTGCTGCACCACCACCTATAGAGATGTGTATATGTATACATGGATGTATAATACATTAGCGCACGACAACCACGGGGGAGAGGGGACTGTACTTATACACGGAAAATATTTTTACGCGCGCGCTTGAATATGGTAAACAGCTTCTATTTGGCAGAGGTTCAATTTTATCGGAGCAAACGTTAAACAACATCAACAGCCACGAACCCTCCGATCGATCGAACGCAATATATGTTTTGCGGAGAAAAAATGAAAAACGGAGGCTAGATACAATGGACGTATCGCACCTACTGTGGACCGTGTACATCAAATCTCGCGAATTTTACCGTGAATATACCCACACGTGCAAACGTTATATGTATATATTTGCTATATTATGTACTTTCTGGCACCCACACAGAGAGCCCCGCTCGTACGGGTAACAGTTCGAACACATAGTTTGGGTATTATGCAAGGGCGCGCGACTGGTGCTAGAGTAAGTATAAGTATAAGTATGGCTTCAAATTTGAAATACAATATGATACATAATAACAATAATAACAATAATAATAACATAATGATAACAAAAATATGAAAAAAGTATGATTGTTACAAAAAGAGTATAATATAAGTTTGCAAACAGAGCTAACAACAGTAAGTTATACACGGTGATGTAGCTCACGTTGTACTATATACATGCATATACGTGCCGCCACTCTCTTTTTCTCTCTCTCTCTCCGTGCTTTTTTCCATCCGAGCTCAAGGGCGTCCCCCTTTCTGCCCGTTTGCCCCTTTCCGTCTTCGGCGCGAGCGCGCACCAAAATAAATAGCAGCGCGCTCGAAAGCCCGTCTCTGCAGATGCACGGACTCACCCTGTTCATGTGTGGTGTACACCTATTGTATCCGTGAGTAGAAGATTACATACTGTACACGGACGTTTTTTTTTTTTTTTTTTTTCAATTGAAAAGTATATATTTCGCTCGATTGAGCGATAAAGCGTGCAAAAACAAGTACGAAATCGACCAAAAATTTGTGAGCTTTGCCCCGTTGTGTCGCGTCAAAGATCTACACTATACCTTATATGTGTACATTTTTTGCACTGGTATATGCTTATTTCGCGCTCCACGTCGAGCAGCCCGAATTTCTTCGTTTCTCCACAGGGGACTGACTGCGAATCTACGATGGCCAAAGAGAGCCCGAATCGCGTGATTGGAGGGAGGGAGAGGATAAACCTTCCTTGGGTTCAAATGCGGGTTATTATTTAGCAATCTTCAATAGCATTAAAATTATTCAAAGCAATTTGTAAAAAATGAAGCTTCGAAGCGGATGGGGTGAGACGGAAAAAAAAAAGGAAACTTGGCTCGGGGAAATAACGCACGAGAGAGTGTATAAGGTATACAGGTGGTACATCCTAGACCAGAAGAGAAGGAGTAAGAAACACAGATGGAGGAGGAGGCTGGAAGCAACGGGGCCGAGACTCCCTCACGCGGGGGGGGGGGGGTAGAGAAAGAAACGCGAAAGTTCGGCGTGTAGGAGCCCAATCAATAAATATTACAATGGAGCCCCGAGAGGGGGTGGGGGTAGGGCAGCTAACGGCAAGGAACGAGCGAGAGAGAGGAGCCAGGCGAACGGAGGAGAGCTACAAGGAGGTCCTCTCCCTCCGTTACAGTGTGTATGTATAGTCTCCTAGGAGGGGGAGGCTCGTTCCTCATCTTTTTAGTGAGGAACGCGCCGCGGTCGCCACCTATACTCTCTCTCTCTCTCTCTCTCTCTTCGTATTCTCTATCACCATCGTCATATATACACATGTATAATGTAATATGTATACCTACGTACAACCGTTGATGCCTATGTACACGTGCCCACATCATATTTTTATACTCCGTCTCGATTTTTCCCCCCTCGTGCGCTTCTTCATTTTTCTCCTTCTCCGTACAATAAGCTTCCTTATACTCCCTAAGCTCGGTGTGTCTTTCTCGCTCGAGGGGCGGCTGTCGCTGTATATAATTATACAGCTACTCTCCAATTATACCTTTTGCATATCTCGCGCTCCCCCACCCCCGCCTGCACCCTTGGGCTGTCTCTTTTCTACTTTTGCCTCTTCCCCCAAATTATCCTTTTCTAAGCGCCGAGTCTCGCCGAAGAGGAGACGGCTCCGGAACTATAACCCCCACCCGCTACAGTCCCGTAACTACGCCGCGGAAGAGAAGAAGCGCCGGACGCTTTCGCGACGCGACTCGTAGTGGTAGTAATGATAATCATAATAACGATATGATGATAATAATCATATACCGTGATGTACATAGAGGAGCGGTGGTTGTAGGAGTGCTCCCCACCATGTACCCTACGGGAGAGGGGGGGGGAGGTAGGGCGAGTGTATTTTACTTTTCTAGTATAGCGAATTAAAACGGCGTTCGTGCGCAGGCCGCGGAAGGGCGTAATGATTTTTTGAGGGGGCGAATCGAGTGGGGTCGCGCGCTACTGCCGCCACCACCACCGCCGGCTTTTTCTCCGTTTGCTGATGGCGATGCGCGTGTGTGTATTATACGTGTAACATATATTCGGGCGCTGATGCTCCCCCCCCCCTCCCACTTCTTCGATATGTATAAGGTTTAATAATACGTACAACTTGGCCTCTAGGTGTATAAAAATGTACATGGCTGTACTGCTCGCATTGTCTAATTTTTCGAGACGCGTTAGCATTTGTTAAAAATGGGATGTTTTACGGTGATGGGGCTATGCGACAGTGTCTTTATAGCTCAAAGTAAATACCTACTAAAATTTTTGCCTCAGGCCGATTTTTAGATAAGATTCATCAACCACATAATATAGGCAGAGTGCAATCAATCGATATGGTACGAATCGCTGTTAACCTCGGCAAAAAAGTTTCTTTTTTTGTTTATCATTTGCACCGATACCCATTTAGAGATTGAGGATAGTCGGGAAAATCTGTTTCCCAGTGATAAAAGGAAGGGAGTCATGGGAAGTATACCGTTGGTAGCATGTTGCATATTAAACTGGGATCTCCCTGGGAATGCTCGGGAATGCCAAGACATGCCCCCTGCGTGCAAGCTGTTACACAACAAACCACGCACTCGTCATAGGTATACACGCATCCTATCATCATAAACTTACCGTTGTAATGTAACAAAAATACTATTTAGGAATTCTCTCTTACTCTTTTTTTTTTTTTTTTTTTTTTTTTTTCATTTTCAAATCAACAACCAGTAACAGCCAAATTTTCCAAGTGTTCGGTATTTCTCATAAAAGGTTCTCTCTGCACCAAAGAACCTCGAATTTTCCTTTTTCGACGATCAAACCAACAACACCCGCACAGAGATCCACGAGCGTAATTTTTCCTCCCGGCTGGTAAAAAATTCATAACTCTCGCGTTCGGCCAGTACACTCCAAAGCCACGTACGCGAGTCGACACGTGCAAGTCGAGGGCCGCACGAGGGGAAGTCCTCGCAGCATCCCTCCTTCGCCCCGTCATCCCCTACCGCCCTGTGACGCCCTCCCCTCTTACGCTTCGGCAGCGCTCGCGGGGGTTAAAAGGGGAGCCAAAACTATGTGTACTTACACACACACACACACACACACACACGTGTATGAACGTATTCCGCGAGCGCCGCGTGCGGATGGCCTCAAGGGCGCAGACTCCGAGCGGACTTTTGTATTTCGCGGGCAACCTGCTGATACGGCTCTCACTTTATATCTCTCGGCGAGAGAGAGGTATATAAACACATATATATACATATCCACGTATACCGTCATGGAGAGAGAAAAAGCAGGAGAGAAAGCGACGTGCGCAGAGCTTGGCGTTTTTTGGCCGGCGTGTCAGTTCTCCGCAAACGGCGATAAGCTATGTAGATTGTGTGCGTGTGTGGGTATATAATATGAGTCGGGAGAGAGAGGGGGGGGAGGGGAGTGGGTCGGGGTCGGGGAGCGAACTACACGAGCAGAAACATCAGCGAAAGAAAGAAAGAAAGAAGCGGAGCAGTACACCACAGCGGTAGCGGAGGGAGTGGGCCACTGATGAACGACGACTACGCGGTGCGGGAGGGGCGCTCCGGGTGCTATATAGCAACTAGCTAGGGGAGAAAAGAGTGCCGGAGAAAGAGCGGCAGGACAACGACGCGCCGCGACCGGGAGAAAGACGACTCATGCTTACACACAGAGTTAATACCTAGTCGCTCTTCTTCGGCTGCTCGTCGGCCCGCATGATACTTACTTAGTCGTGCTCGCGTTATACCCGTCGTAGGCTGCCACCGCTGTATAACCCTCGAGTTGTACACACACACACACACACACACACACACACACATCCATAGAGAATCACATAGGTGTACAATTATTCATACATGTACACTCAAGTCTGGTGTGAAACACGCGTTGTGGGCACTGAATTATTATAACATAATAATCGAGTCACTTAGTTTGTACCAATCAGTGGTTATACATACTTGAAAGTGCCGTGGCTGCATAAACATATAAGTTATCGCTCAACTGTTGTTGACTGCGTAGCTCATTATTTGTTGTTCACTTGGCTGCGACTTGTGCGTCGGTTATAGAGTGCCTGGAGACGAGCAACTATATCGGCGTATCAGGCACTGAAGACCCAGCAACAACAACACGACGACGACGACGACGACGACGACGACTTTCGTACTCGCACCGAGGATCGGTTTACTGCAGATATATATATAAGTACCGCAGCAGCGCGCTTTTACACACTCATCCGTTTCTGCAAATTACCCTACACGTGCGCTACTCCGGACTTCAGACTCTTGACTGCTGCGGCTGTCGGACAAGACTGTGTATACTATATACATACATATATTTCAGTGGGCGCCGCGTCGATGCGTGCTGTTGTTTATAGGAAAATAATCAGCCGGCAACTGTGTATTGCCGCGTGTATATAATATTACGGTCTGGCCACTGCTCTCTCAGTTTGTCCGCTAACCCCTTGGATGAGTACTTGTGCAAGTTTTGCAATTGCCGGAGCATTATCTACCTCGTCCTCAGTTCTGCGAAGTTTTTAAATGACCGTAAGTTTTTCCTTATTTTTTTTCTCCCATCACAAGTATGTTCGTATCTTGGAGAGTGCGTCTCTCATGTTGTAACGATAACAGTAGTTACAACGTCTTGTTTGATGCTAGTTTTATCAATGTCCAAAAATATTGATGCGCATATACCTACACGTCGTACTTACTCATTTATCGGCTAAAAAAATCGAGCGTCAAATTTCAACCTTATCACCTGAATCTCTCCACTACCTTTACTAGTACATATCAGATCTATCGTACATATTAACACTGGTTATTACAGACGGTAGTTGACCGTTTACTCCATCCGAGTCTGGGAGTGTTGTAAGGTATATTTCGATGGAGGTAAAAAATTTTTTATTTGTAAACAATGATGGCGAGTGCTTAACCTATAAAACATCTGGTCATAGGATCGCGGATTGACCAATTGAATTCTAGTCAAATTAAGATAGTAATTTAATTAGTGTTTTGATTCCCTTGATTTTTTTCATGGGAAGAAATGGCATGAGAATATAATATACGTGAGCCGCTACTAAAAGTTAAGCTAGCAAAAAGCTTCATCGGTTTCGCTGACACGAATAATATACATGAATACAGCAAAAATATTGCCTTGTCTAGGTGTTGAAGGTATCGCTATCTTTTCGCTGAAAATTCCAAGCTTTCCAAACAATCTGTACTTTTACAGTTGTTGCGAGAAATAGATGAAAGCATAATATAAAATGACAGCACTAAAGAACCACGGAATACAGCAAAAATTAAAGGCGCAAACCGTGTTGATGTTTGTAATATCAAAAATTATGTGGGTTATTTCCATTTTCCAGAAATTTCCATCGAAAGGCGAGTTAGGCGTGAGCATCTCAAGTTTGTATCTGTTAGTGAAAACAATGTGTCTTCGTCGTAGTTGAAAAATTGAGATAATTGAGCATAACTCGCTTTCCGATGGAAATGTCGAGAAATCGAGATATCGATTATTTGACGAATTACAGAGAAAATAAATAACATCTGTGCTTCATATTTATGAAGTCGACTGATAAAAAATGCCGCACTTAAGGGAGAGTCAACGATATCGCAAAAATTGGTGACGCGTTTTTCTAGTAGAAAATAAAAAATCCATGTTAAAAAATTAACTGAGGTACCGATACCTTTTATTCAACTACTGCGTGTGAAAATTTCAAAGTTAACGGTAATTTTACCATATTGGGTATTGGAAACAATGAGACATCCCACTAGGCAATGCTAAGTGTTGCACGTATTTCCAATGCTTGTAGTAAAATTACCAAAAAAATTTCACTGTGATACACTCGTTGGTGTTTACGAATTGGGGTGAAATATGTCGTATTTGAGTTAGAGGATTTGCTGGAATAAGGTAGCGAAATCGGTAACGCATTTGTTCTGTAAAAAAAAGAGATCCATGATCAAGGCATTTTTACGGTGTGACAGTTATTCTTAAATTCCTGCGTATGACAATTGTCAAACACACCCGTTGTTTCAGTTAAAAAATTTAGATGCTGACGCATAACTTGCATTCCGATAGAAGTGTCGAGAAAATTGAGATAATCCACAGTTAATGAACCATCGAGAAAAAAATAACACATGTACTTCTACAAGAACACACGTTTTTTTTTTTTTATATTATAGTGTTTTACGTCCGGCTCCTTTGATAAGGGCACTACATAGGGTACTTAGCACTTTGGATTAGGAAGGGTCGAGGGATGGGAGGCCTCCCATTACTGGGAGGGGGGTAGGGGAAAATTAGGCAATTATGCTGCGAGGAGGTCGCGCCTGAACCCTCCTCGAGGAGCATTGCGTGGTGAAAGAGCACATGTGAAGAATCACAGAGGTACTTGCCCGAAAAGTCGTACTGGACGGGATTCGAACCACGGTCTCCCCGCGTGCCAATCCACGACCTAGTCGACTGAGCCACCGTGCGCTCAGAACACACACATATATGATAGAAGAAAAAAAAAGCGATCCGCTGTATCAGCTTGCGAAAACCCAAACAATGCAAAAAAAAGAGATCATTGGATATAAGTGCCGCCACTGCATCGCTCTCCTACTCGTGATATTAAAAAAGTGTAAATCGAATGTGCACATTTCCAACTACGGTCCGATGGTTCGGAAGCCATGTAAAACATCGGCCCCCATTGTTGTTTGTAAGTGACCGATTCACGATAAATCTGAGGTGGTTATTTATTGTGCCAATGACTATGAAATAAAAAAATTAAAAAAAAAAAAATGTAACGAGTTGCCTCGTACATCAATCAGTCGGACCAGGAGGTGTAGGGAGCGCGGAGTTGAGACGCGCCAACTTACGCATCACACGATATATTTTTTCCTTTACATATTACAAACTAATATATTTCTACACAAAATGTGACAAACCGATAGTACGTTATACAAATCGTATATGGCTGCAGTGTATCCCTACGTGTACCCCGTATACCAATTATGTTCTTCTTGCAGCTCTAATTCTCTCTCTCTCTCTTTACTATTTCCCGTGACTAATGCAATACAATCTGTCGATAAGAAACGCAATACTTTGCCCGTCCAAATGTTAAATAGTAGCTGTACTTAGTGCACACACTTGCGAATGAACGGAATCGCCGTACCCTGGCTTTTTCGTGTCCTTTTATTGGGATTATTTGCATCGACGCCGAGGAGAGCACATCACGGGGGTATAAGGAAGGAGAGAGAAAGAGAGCGGGCAAGTGACCCAGTAAGTAGGTAGAGCACGCGCTGGCGCGCGTCGAGCCGGTCAATGAGACGAGCGCGGGTGAGGAGGCGCTTACAACAAGGGGGGACCGACCGTACACCTATACTCGCATATAGCACACCCCACCGAGCAGCTCCTCTCTCTCACTTCGACGCATTCCTGCGATGTCATTGCATCGGCCACGTCCTTCCGCGTTTTCCAAGGCCACTCCACACGCATCACATACCTATATACACCTCTGTTTGTACGTGCCTGTACTTTTCACTTCGCGTCCCCGGTTTTTTTTTTTTTTTTTTTTTTATTTTGTTTTTATTTTGCTTTTCCACCAGTGAAAGTGTACGGCCGGAAATCGAGCCACGGTCGCGCGCGAACAACGCCCGTGGCGATTCACTCCCCCGCGCGCTATCTTTTTCACCCGCTGCGCGCCTGCTGTTTTTTTCCCTCTCAAAGCGTGAACGGTTGGGGGGGGGGGCGTAAGCCGGCCGATTTATTTAAACCCCAGCTTTGGGATACCGTGGCTGCAGGAAAATATTCAACACCCTGTGCAGCATGTTCTGTGTACTCCCCCCCACCCCTACCCAAGTCCGCCCAATCGTATTAACGGGGTAGGAAACGATACCACTCGTGCGGCGCTCGATTTTGATCGACCCTACGAAGGATTCATCGTTTTGTTTTTTTGTTTTGCTTAATTTTTGCAACGCGCGCCCACCTTCGGGTATACACTCAAGTTCCATCCCACCGCGAACAAACTACTGACCTGGTTCGCGCGTTTACGAAACGCGGCGTTTTTATCTTATGCTAATAAAACATTGATAGTACAGCTTTTTATAGGACGTATATGTGTTTATTCCGCCGAGTTTAATGGCACACACGAGAGAACTCGAGAGAACTGGTGGGTGATGAATGTACCTTCAGCTGGTTGAGTTACAACGACTCGCGATAATTCGACGCTCGGAGAGAAAGTGAGCTAACGAGCGCTGTAGTGTTAGTAGAGTATAGTAGCGATGTGTGTGTAAGCACCGGGATTTGCCTATCGAGCACGACATAACAGGGTTGGAGAGGAAGGGGCTGTTGTAGAGAACCGCAAATTTGATCCAAGACGCTTCTCCTTTCTTCTTTATCATTTCCCGAAGATAACCGTGTGTGTATGTTACACGACGTGTACTCGAGTGTTTGCGCGTGTACGCGAAGCGGAAGAGAAAATAAAAAAAGTGGGTGGGGGTGTTATGTGGGCGGGGAGGGGAGGGGGGGGGGATCGGGAATTATTTAATCGCACATGTTCTGGCGGAGCTCCAGCATGGCGACCTAATTTTTCTGCTCGCGCTAAAGACGACGACGACAAGGAGAGCCGGAGTTGTACGTGTGGTGTAAAAAAAAGAGCGTCAGCCTAGATAGATACAGAAAAAAGAAGCAGCGGTTGGAAGGGCTTGTTCCACTACTCCGCCGCGGAAGAGGGGGGGGGGGGCGGCAACGAGAGCGCCCGTTATCTTGTGCCATTTTATTGTCTTTTATCAGCTCGCCGAGAGAGACTCCTACTTTTTTTTTCTTTCTTTTTTTTTTCGCCCCCTCTTACCGGCAGAGAAAAAAAGAGCAAAGTTCTAACTCGTAAGTATTGCCGAGTGCAAGCACGCGAATGTGTGTAATTTTTTGCACTGGCCGTGTGGAATTGTTTATTTGTGGCCGCGCAATCGTATGTAGGTATATATCGCGGTGTCTTCTGGAAACCCAATGACGCGGTAACTCTTTTTTTTTTCTCTCTCTCTCTCTCTTCTTCTTTCTACGCGCTCGGCAGCAGCAACTCACTACTTGATCGCTGATGTGTAACTTCTTGCGAAATCCCCGGCGATAAGAGCTAGAGGGCGAACACACGCAGAAAGACATCCTCAATGTATATACGTACACATATGTATAATATATAAATGTATTACACGCTCAATAATTAATGGCTGGCGAATTGAATGGAGCGTAAATGGATAGCGGTGCAGCGCGAATCATTGGCCAAAAAGTGTGTGTATGTGTGTACATGTGTATATATGTATGGTTAGTGGTGGGGGGATTGCTAGGGGAAGGGGGTTTAATCAGAATCGCGTTGCCTTGAAACTCATCATCTTGCAACTTGTGTTACTTAAGTATATATAAACGTACACTTTGTTCGCGTTGACTGGCTGCAAGGTCTTTTTGGCAAGATTTGGCCACTTGGTCCCCACTCCCCTTTCCCTTTCTCGGATCCCCAGTCGTTGCAGTAAAATAAAACGATAGACATTGAATGGCGGGGGAGGGGGGGGTGTTTCGCTTATGTATATGTTAATAACGTTACACGCGTGTACGTGTACTTCTTTTCAAGTTTGCAGGCCATTTTTTTTTTTTTTTTTTTTTTTTTTAATTAAACAAGCTTTATCTAAATTTATCAGTGCTTTTGTGCCGTCTTATCTGGATTTGCCGTATGTGCTTTGGGAGTAAGGTTAAATTGCAACTTTCGCGGATAGCGACAGTTTGAAAAATGCGCTGTCTTAGGAAATTTGACTGCGCTCCGTCTCCACCTCCTTCTCGCGATTAAACTTTATCGTTGCTTGTTTCGCTACGTTTTCAAGTGCACACCAAGTATACATACGTCAATCACGGACTACACTCTACACCTTAGGGGTTGGGTGCGGACATCTTAAAATCGTCGCACCACTGCTTACCACTGTAAATATCATATGTGTGCGTACATTAACAAGGTTCAGTTTTCTTTTTCTATGTTAATGTACATTTTTAAGTTGTATTGATCTAATTTTTAAATAAAATTTTTCCACTTCATACTATTTCGTTACATCCTCGGGATTCACGTGTATAACATTTAATTTAACCTGTGTTTTTTGCGTTTGAAAAAAAATTTTCTATCTGATTCCATAAAATAATGGCGATGCGTAAGAAAAATCAAGTAGGCATGCAGTTGTGCATTTAGCGCAGCAAGCATTTTTACGATTATCTCGGTATCTTTTGATTAAAATTTGTTTTTTGTTATTATTAGTCTATGTTTTTTGAGGTCCCAGTATTAGCATAAGATTTCTTGATCCCTCTTCGTGAGAGGTTCCACTGAAAAATTGATTTTAAAATGAATTTTTTTTTTATCTTGGGAATAACCCTTAAAAAATTTCCTTGTAATTCTGCAACTTTATGACTTAGACCATAGATTTCCTTGACAATGCAATTGATCCAACCTAATTTTTTTTTTTTTTCAAAGAGAAGATAGCGAGGAGTATTGTTTTTACCGAGTATTAAAAAAAGAAAAAAAAATTTATTTCTTAGATTACGTTATTACAAGCTTGAAATGCATAACAAAAGGAATAACAATATCTTCGTAAAAGATAACATTGTCAAGATTGACAAACCCGACAATTACAAAAACAATGTAATAATAATAATAATGAAAAAAAAAAAAAATTACTAATCAAGCTTTATTTTCGCTCTTTCCCTGTTGCAGGTGAACAGGCATAACGATGGTAGATACACAACACTTTTGCCTGCGATGGAATAATTACCAAAGCAGCATCACATCGGCGTTCGAAAACCTACGGGATGACGAGGACTTTGTGGACGTCACGCTGGCGTGCGACGGCAAGAGTCTCAAGGCACATCGGGTCGTCCTCTCGGCCTGTAGTCCCTACTTCAGGGAGCTTCTCAAGGTACACAAGCATCGCGTTGCTATACACGACACCGACTCTACCATCATTACCACACGACAAGAGCAAAAAAATCATGATTTTTTGTCGTTTGATTCCAGAGCACACCATGCAAGCACCCGGTGATAGTACTGCAGGACGTTGCCTTCAGCGACCTGCACGCCCTGGTCGAGTTCATCTACCACGGCGAGGTGAACGTCCACCAGCGCTCCCTCAGCAGCTTCCTCAAAACGGCCGAGGTGCTCAGGGTGTCGGGCCTCACGCAACAGGCCGACCACTCCGACAGAGACGAGGTGAGCACCGAGTTTCAAACTTAAATGGCTACTTTTTTTTCCCCCCCATCTCTTGCCTTCCGGATACATAAATACCACTCGCTACCGATCCCCATCTCGAACCGATCAAATAGTCGTGAGTGTATTTTTTTTTTTTTTTTGCATTATCGATCGTTGCGCAACTCGGTCAATTGAATTTTATAAACGGGATCTCGCGGGACGCGTGGGTTTTCATCGCAACGAAATATGCATACCAACAGTCGTGGCGATGCGCGTGAATAATACACGGAATCTGTTGACCTCCAGTCCCTGTTTCCACCCTCGGTGTCCCTATTTTGTCCCGGAATCGATGACAATCCGATAAACAAGGCATACATCGGCGGAAAAAAGAGATAATGTAATTCCTCAACACCGTTGGCCGAGTCGTACTTTTAACGCCATTGGGGTGAAAATATCCTCGCTTCTCCGAGCTATATTCGAGTCGCCTTCGAACCGAAAGATGGAAACAGTCGTCCGCGTGAAACGAAAATAAAAGCGGGCCATCGATTTCCAACGAGGGTCGATGAGCAAATCCCGATGAATTAGTAATACGAGTAGAAATAGTAGTTGTGATGAAAAAGAGAAAAAAAAGCTGAGACGAGTCTGCTTTGCCCCTTACCCTTCATGTGACGAGCAGTTGTCGCACGTGCGAGCGCTAGCGGCTGGCAACCACCTGCCGGTCAACCACGAGAAGCAACAACAGCAACAGCTCTCGGATGAGGGCTTCCCGCGAGGCGGCTCGCCACCGACCCCGGCCACCCCGACCCCGACGACGGTCCAACAGCTGATACGCCGCGCCCAAATCCGGCGCAACGAGAGAAACACCCCGGACCCCCACGACGACCCCGCCAAGCGGCCGCGCATCCTCTCGCCGCCCCTGAACAACAACGACGCCGCCCCCACGGACTTTTCGATGGTCAAGAGCAACCACCTATCCGCGGCGCACCACCACCACCAGCAGCAGCAGCAGCAGCACCACCACCAGCAGCTCATCGCCAAGATAGAGAACAATGGGCTCCTGCACGAGGAAAACGGGCCGCTCGACGTTGGTGGCAACAACAACTCGGCCGGTGGCTGCGAGCTTGGGACGAACGTCAAGTGCGAGCCCCTCGAGTTGACCGGGGGCAACAACAACAACGGCTCGGGCTGCCTGAGGCTGGGAGACGGCAATCAGCTGCACCACCAGGGCCAACAGCACCACAACGAGGACAGCTCGGACTCGGGGGCCGCGGCTTCGGATCGGCCGCCGGCCTCGGCGAGCAGCAACGAGCACGAGCACGAGTCCGAGCACCCCCACACGCCCAATTACCTCGCCGATACCAAGCTCTTCGGCACGACGCCCGGTAGCTTCAACTTCAGCATGGCCGCGCTCGCCCAGACCGAGCACCCGCCCCTGTCAGGTGAGTGGTCCGCAGGACGATCTTCACGGCAGCCTGTACGCACCGAACAACTACATACGAATTTCTTTTTTTTTTTTTTTTTTTTTTTTTTTTTTTTTTTCACTACTTTGGGTCTTTCAATTTTAATTCCCTCAGTGGGGCTTGATACGTCTTCGGCTCGATGTGTGAGTGTGTGTATATGTTTCATTGGCCGTGTGATCTCCAGGTGCAACTGTACAATCGTTGTAGTGGCTGTCGCATGTCGAGTTTGCGTGTTTTCTTAGAAAGTTTTCGCTTCGCCGTTCGCTCGATGTCCTCTCGTGTGTTTTACTCGCTGATAAGCATGACCTTGACGCGCATAACACGTCTGCTTTTCTTTTTCTCTTTTTTTTTTTTTTTTTAGTGCATCGCAACTTTTTTTTTCTTTTCCCGCTCGTTTTCAAATATTTGTTCAACCAGCAACGCACATTAAAAACTCATTACACGGCTTTATCATTTTTTTTTTCTCTTCATTTTAGCAATTTATCCGGCTCGAAATTAATTTTTTCTCCTTTTTTTCCCCCTTCGGCGTGTGTATATCGTGTGTACCTATACTCGGCTCGCAAAATCTAAGATAATTTTGCAATTTCGGAAAAAAAAAGCCGCTGTAAAAACGATTTTTGTTTTTTTTACGTAACCAAGGTTAAGATAAGAGCGTCTCTTTGTGCGTGTTACGTTTTTTCGAAATATCCAGACTTGTTGTGTGTTGTATGATGCTGTTCGTGCGTCAGCTTGATTATTATTTTATGAGAAGCAAAGTAAATTTAGCCAACGAAATTCGCGTCAAGCTCGAGTTGAATGTACATGTATTATGCGTACGTCTATCTGTAACTACATATAACTATGTGTATGGGGTTGCACGTCAAATTTTCTGTGTATACTGTCTTGCCTGCTATTGTTGGCATTGGATTCGTAGTTGCGAAATTGCGTACAGGCCCGAGAGACCGCACTTTGTTGGGGGAGCGCTTCTATCTATGCGTGACTTTAGTAAAATTTCCAGGCTTGGGCCACGGACTGCAGACACCGGATCTGGCAGGCACCTCACAAGGTAAGAACATGTTTTTTATGCCACTGTTCAATAACGCACATACCCTGTTTATTTATTTATTTATTTATTTGTTTATTTTATCTATTATTTTGTTTTTTCAAAGAGAAGATAGCGAGGAGTATTGTTTTTACCGAGTATTAAAAAAAGAAAAAAAAATTTATTTCTTAGATTACGTTATTACAAGCTTGAAATGCATAACAAAAGGAATAACAATATCNTTATTGACTTGGACAACCCTTTTTCCGCGATTAAAATAAATAAGAAAATAAAAAAAATAAAACAAAATAAGCGAACGTAAAGAGATCGTCGCGCAATCGAAGGACAGACGAAAGGTTCGAGTCTGCGTTCTTCTGATTTTTCAAAGGGCTCTCTTCGCTACTCTGTTTGATTCTCAAGCCGAGTGGTCCGAGTCGCATCGATTCGCGCGCCAATGACGACCAAGAAAAAAAAAATATATATAGACCAAGAAAAAAAAAATATATATTTTTGTCGTTTGATTCCAGAGCACACCATGCAAGCACCCGGTGATAGTACTGCAGGACGTTGCCTTCAGCGACCTGCACGCCCTGGTCGAGTTCATCTACCACGGCGAGGTGAACGTCCACCAGCGCTCCCTCAGCAGCTTCCTCAAAACGGCCGAGGTGCTCAGGGTGTCGGGCCTCACGCAACAGGCCGACCACTCCGACAGAGACGAGGTGAGCACCGAGTTTCAAACTTAAATGGCTACTTTTTTTTCCCCCCCATCTCTTGCCTTCCGGATACATAAATACCACTCGCTACCGATCCCCATCTCGAACCGATCAAATANATTATTACTTATTTGGTTGCGGTAAAAGTTCACTATACTTCTGTCTCTCCCTGCTTGGAAGATTAAGTTTCTTCTAATTTAGCATGCCACTTTATTTTTTTTTTTTACCAAATCATCGATATCATCATTACTGTATACTTTATATACTTATAAAAAGCGTCATTTATTTTCGTACAACGATATATATACTTGCTTGCACTTGCATTATTGATCATTTGAATTCATTCGCAAAGACAAAGAAAAAAAAAATAGTTGCCGCGACGAATTTCCGAATCGCCCGCTCGTCTTCGGGGCTTTTTTCAGATAATTTTTTATTTATTTTTTTTTATTGATACGCATCGTTAAAATAGTATAAAAATTTTGAAAAGTAAGGGCGATCGAAATGCCGAGTCGCAAGTAGAAATCCAAAGCTTTGTCGATGAGCAGCCGGTCATTTCAAATTGGCGAGCAACAAGAAAGAGAGAATTACTGTACAATTTTTAATCGCGCGGTCGTCTTGCAAGTTTTTTTTATTTATTTATTTTTTTCTTCTTAAAACCAAAACTTTATTGCTCTCTTTTTTTTTTTTTTTTTTTTTTTTTTTTTTTTTTTGTTACTTTGTCGGTACTGTACTTTGTGAGCCAAAAGACGACCTCCGCGAAATCAATAATCGACGATTCTCGACAGCCATCATCTGTACATCGCGTCATTGAGTACAAATTGATCATACGACTTTGATTTTAATTACACTATATGAATACATATGTACATGTCATATATTATATTGTTGAACCTTGCCGTGCTCGTATCGTCCAAACTGTGGCAAAAGTTTACTATCTGTATACCTAAGTGTTGTCGTTCCATGTTTGTTTTTACTTTTTAAGCATATGCACAACATGCCCTTGAAAGTATAATATTCGATACCAAATAGCCAAATATATACCTTGAGATTGGATATCTTGTAATAATCCAAATGTAAATGAAAAACACTGAAAAATTATTAAACGCCAATATTAGCATTACCAACCATGTACTCTCATCATACTAGAGCATTGAATATATATTTTTTACCAGTATAGAATTTTATTCACCTCCACGCACCAGTGGATGCTTATGAGGTCAATACACCACTATTATATACATGCACGAAATATAAAGAGGTGATACGATACATAAAAATAATTTTAAAAAAAGAAAAAAAAGCCGACACGGCTGTGCTTGAATAACTCAAAAGGTGCGATTCGAATTTCGTACTTTAGGCCGCGCTACTAGCCGAGGCGTGTATAGGTATAATTACAGCGCCGCTACAAATGTTATGAAATCGCCGCGACATGTTTACCTCCGATGCGCGATAGGCCGTCTAAAGTTTACCACCCCGACTCTTCTTGATCGTCACTCGACCCGTTCGACGATGATAACAACAATCATCATTATCAATTATCATCGCGCGTTCGATAGTTCTTTTAAAGAAGAAGAAAAAAGAAAAGGTAGAAGAAAGAGTCGTAACGCGAGCTTTCCTTCTAATTTTAGTATGCAAGTGTCAGTTTTTTTCCATTTACTCGCTCCTCCTCCTCCTCCTTCTCCTCCTATGTATACTTGCACACTCGACGTTCATGTTGATCTGACCAACACTTTCTTACGCCTGTAGGTACAGATATACCTATATGTATCGCATTAATTTTATCGCACTCGATCGTTCGCCTACTAGTATATATACGTCATTCCCCTTTTATTCGTCGAAATGCGAATTGTTAAATCCATCCAAGTGGAAAAATATTTGTTGGTGGCAATACAACGAGCGAAATATGCACAAGTAAATAATTACTGTACACTCTTTGAAGAACAATTTTGTGAAACTGCGACCAGGTCGGATGTGTGATTGTTTAAATTTTGTACTCAAACGGCTTTCTCGCCTACAACGTAGATACTTACTCTTGCGCCTTACCTCCGTCGCGTCGTCGGTCTTGAAAAATTAATTTTTCCATCGGTATACAAAAAACCATGTTTTGTTGGCTCGTTCAAGCGAGACTACAGCGTGTGAGTTGTGGCATTGTCAAAATCGAACAATAACTTTGATCGGTGTTGAGAAAATGTGTTTAAAAAACACAAACACACACACGAGTTGTCCACGGCAGGCTGAAATTTAGCGAAACGTTTGTGTGCATGTGTGTTTATTTAACAAAACAATCAAAAAAATCTCTCACTGTCAAACAGCCTCGAAAAAGTCATTTCGCCGCGCGGAGCTGTCGAGATTCTCGGATTGCGTAAACCGTACACAGTCGTTACCGCGGACTCGTGATTTATGTTAACTTAGACTGACATTGACGAAAAAAAAAAAAAAAAAAAAAAAAAACGTGTAGGGAAACTCAATGGTGTATAGATATATTGGGCAAATCACAATACGATGGAAAAAGACGTGTTGCGATGACAAATTCAAATGGGCTTGGACGAAGTTAGAGGTCGAAGAGTATAGAAAAAAGAGAGCTAGTTCGGCGCGGGAGGGGAAAAAAAAGAAAAAAAAAACAAAAAAAAAACAC